TGAAATAATGAAAATGTTCCGTATGAGAGAGAAATTGTTGTCCATTCACACTCCGGAAAGAATCATCAAGTTAAGCACTATTTTGGTTGTTATGATCCTTTACAGTATCCTTTACTCTTTCCAGGCGAAGATGTTGGATGACACTAAAATATTAAAAGAAGGGAGAAAAATGATATTCTCCATTCAAAACAACTAACTACAACATCTCAAGTGCTCAAGAAACTTTTACATTTGTAGAAGACATATTTAAACGAGAAAGGGAAGGTAAATCATAATTAAAATTGTTTAATAATATTAAAACATTAAAAATTAACTTAACATGCAAACTTGTAGGTGTTAAAGCACCAAATACGGGAAGCGTCTCATGTGGAGAATATTATTGTTACAAGTTCCAGATAAGAGACACTCGACAATCTACTGTATTAACATCAGTAGGTCGGTTGTTCCATCAATATGCTGTTGATATGTACATAAAGCTTGAAACAACAAGACTTGATTATTTTAGAAAGAAGCAATCAGAAATCAGAACAGAGGCATTCCAAGGCATAGTTGATAGTGTAGTTGCCGGGGAAGCAAAAGCATGTCAAGTCGGAAAAAGAATAGTGCTACCATCATCATTTATTGGTGGTCCTAGAGATATGCGTCGTAGATATCTTGATGCAATGTTATTAGTACAACGATTTGAAAAACCAGATATTTTCATCATAATAACATGCTCCTGAATGGGAAGAAATCACGGAGGAACTACATCAAGGGCAAACACATAACGATAGACCGGATCTAACCTCAAGGATATTTCGAGCAAAATTGCATCAAGATATGAGCACACCAAACAAAAATTATTAAAAGTTTTTCCAGAAAATAATTGTGCTTTTGCTAATCTGGTAAGTGAATTTAAGTATAAAATATTTTATGTTACCTGATTAGTGATTCCTTGCTAAAAAGTCTCATATTTGCACTAGAGGATGATTTATTTAAATTTTATGCACCAATAATCTTTACACCTTATTAAGCCATGCTTATATTGAATCAATGGTACATTCATAAATTTAATGTGAAAGGATGAATTGTTTTTTATCTTTTCTGAAGCAATTTAGTATGCTTTCACTTTTTTTTAGCTATTGCTTTCTAAATGAGGTCTTAAGTATGTGGTTCATGATAAAATTTACATGTGTAAACCAGATATCTAACGACCTTCTTAATATCAATTCAACTGAAGTGAAATTAACACGTGTAAACAAGATTATCTGATAACCTTCTTTATCTCAATTCAACTGAAGTACTCTTGAATGGATATTTCTTCCTTACTTATATGTTCCAAAACTTAAGACTGCAGGTGCCATTGGAGGTGTTGCATCTTCACTTCGTAAGATGGGGGAAATAGCGTATTATTTTCATCCATGGGTTAAGCATAGAAGCTTCTAAATCTAAGGTACTTCATTCATGACAAATATACAGCCTAGCTTAATACCTGAATAAGTTGCTCAGAGACAAACTTTAACCTGAATAAGTTTGAGGTGAATATCTTGCCGAGACAATGATATATTTTCTCTTCCTTGTGAACTTTTATTAGAGCTCTTGTGAACTTTTATTAGAGCTCAATACCTATTCTTATATATTACTCAATAAGATTTGCTCAACTTACTTCACACTATTGCTTATCAGAGGTATGTACATTCGCCTCACAATATTTTACATGTTCCTGCTGTGCAACTTCATGTAATTTCATGAACTAACTTGCACCATTTTTGAATCCATGAAGATGCTTTTTCTCTTATTTTTTAAGGGTATCTTAGTTGGCTGATTGTGAGAAAATATGCTGCCAGAAGTTGCATTGGACAATTTTTTTCCCGTTTTTTGCCTTGCTGAAAATGTTCAATACCATCCATAGAAAAGTTCCAATTTAGTTCATATATAGTAATTTCAAATATGAGATTGACATTCTATTGCAATAGCAAGAAGGAAGTCTATTCTGCAAGTAACTTTGCAAGATATTATCAAATGATATATTAATGCAAACTTACACTAAAAGTGCAATGAGATGCGAAGATATTTTGTCAGTTGTTTTAATTGGGTATTCTATGTTTTATGTAGCCATAATTTACTCTCATGTCAGTAACATTTTAGTTCTTAATGTTGACAAATGTGCAGTAAAAAGACTGATTACTTAAAAAGGGTCTAGATCATGTATCATAACTTAGTTTTTAAACTATCTTGGTGTTAAATATCCATGACAATCTATCAGCCATTTCATGTTAACAATTATGTAATAAATATTGCAATGAGTAATAAACTTGATGTATTCACGATCCTTATAGATCACATTTGGGCTGTGCAGACCACATGACTCATCTAGAAAAGTTCTACAGTTCACGTAGTTTCATCCTTAATACACATAGAATGAATTCTGTGGATCATGTAGTTGCATCCTTAATCTATTTAATCATGCAGCTGCATCCTTTATCCAAAACTTTGTCTAACATAATTGCATTTAGAAGTTTGTTTGTATTTATTCCAGGATGGATCAGTTTCCAATCTTTTTAAAAGCTGGCCAATTCGTGATCTTATAGAATATGATTGCATACAATAAATGAACATGCTGATTTCAATTTTGAAATTAACTTATGCTTATGCTTCTTAACATCTCAATTGTGTCTTGTCTTCATTCTATCTTTGGTATTGTTTCAATACAGTGGGAAATAAAAGTGGGTTTAAATCTTTACACTGTATGTAAAAAATTAATATATATTTCACATCCTAGCTCTAGAGGGAGAAATACAGGTAATATTAATAATTGTCATTTCTCATGTGGTAAACCATACTCTTCTGTTTATGCATGATTACGTCCTTTCTCTTTAGTTTGTTATCCTTCATCTTTCAATAATCCAACAAAGTTTGGTATTTTCTGTTTGGCATTTGTCTTTATAGTTTTCTTATTCATTATTCATTTTGCTTCCTATATTTTTTGCTTTATCTCTGTGAAAATAGCATCTTGTCCTTTGTAAGTTATAAATTTAGTCCTTTCCTCAGTTTTATTTCACCATCTTCTTATGCGATCATGTTTAATGAAATTTACTTTCAGTGCTTTGTAATTTCTGAAATATCATAGCTTTTACTCAAATGTCATCCTAGGAATTAGGATCAAGAGTATGCTACAGTTGACGATTATGTCCACTCACCAAATATTAACAAACTATTATACTTGCTGTTGCTGTTGGTGGTGGTGTTTTTGTTTGTTTTTATTTTTCCTGTAGAGCTTTTAATTACGTTTGTACCTTTCTGTCACAGGTACTTGTGCCAATTGCTAACGGATAAGAAGAGATGGAGGCTGTAATGATTATCAAAATTCTACGGAGAGCCAAAGCTAATGTTGTTGTGGTGTTAATTGAATATGGATTAAAAATTGTAGCATCTAGAAAAGTAAAAATAATAGCAGATAAGCTTTTGGATGAGGCTGTTAAATTACAATATGACATAATTGTTCTGCCGGCAAGTTAATATAGCCATTGAACATCGAATTCTTCACCATGTGTACATATGTAAGTAAGTTTATATTTGCTTCCTATTACTTTGTGTGTGATTGATTCAATCATTTGTTGGTCTTCAAATAATATTCTTTATATTTTAATTTTCTTATTCTGATTCTCTTTTTTAAGGGGAAGAAGGCAACAACATACACTGCTATGTGCAGCAAGCTTTCTGATCAAAGTGAATGTGAGAATAGGGTGGTGGTTGATGGAAACCTGATCACAAGCAGAGGGCCAGGGACTTCCATGGAATTTGCGCTGGCCATAGTAGATAAGTTCTTTGATGATGCCCTCAATCTTGCAAGAAGCCTGGTTTTTGTATAATAAGCTAATAATAGCTCTGTGGTAGAGAGCTGGGCATATGAATGTAATCAGCACTTTCTGAATAAACTAAGTTGCATTCAAATGCAGAGGTGTAGAAGCAAAAACAAACATTCATGTTATATCTATTGAGTCCTATACTTCAGAATGACATGAACGTGAATTTTGGGTTGTTAAATGTAAGTTGGGGGGAGTATTTGCTTGAGTTGCTTATAAAATCTTATTTGAAGGTTTGACAGTAAAATTCATATTCATATTCTTTTTAAATTTTTTGGGAAATTTTATTTACATTTTAAGGTGTTGTCTGCTCACTGCTGGTATCTATTTGTAGTTTACTAAAAAAATATGTTAGCTTACAACTTGAGTGAACGTTACAGTTTTGTTCCTGGAGCTGTTAATGTTATTGATAAGAGTGTTAAATGCGTTTATCTAATGTTTGAATGTGTTGATTTTGTTTTATTTTTGTGTTTGCATATGTTTTGAGTATCCAAGAGTATTTCAAGATTTGCCAAGGGTGTTCACATATTTGTGTTTGGATGTGTTGACATTCTTTGATTATCTAATGATTATTCTCCCATAATACTGAATATTCATCTATTGTTTATATTTAAATCCCAATGTCCTTAAAAAGTTACTCATCAACCTTAATAATAATATTTGATCAGACACAGTTTAATGAGTGTTTTGAAATTTATATGGGATTGTGAAATTTTTATGCGTGAATATATGTACTCACATATTACATATTACAAAGACTTAGTCAATCTTTGAATGTCATGAGCTTGGACTTACATCCACATCATCAAACATTACTATTATGTATATTCTTGTGAAAATATTTGATTGATCAATCACGTTATAGATGCAACCAGTGTATTATCGTCCAATCAATCAATAAATATAATTTATTTGTTCAAATGTTGAATGTTTAGATTATGTCTATATGTTTGATCCATTACTTACATTCCATAATTTTATAACAAAACATTATAAATAAAATTATAAATTTTAAACAAAAAATAAAAATTTTACCACGTGCATTGCACGTGCAATCCAACTAGTCATTCTCCCTTTAAAAGAGGGAGTACTAGAAAAACTTTCTCTACCCAAAATAACCTTCGTCTTTCATTAATTTAACAAAGTTACCCTTTCTTTTTTCGTTACTCAGAATCAGAGAATTCTAAAGCCCTAAAATTCCCTTCCTTCTCCATTCTATCGGTTAGGATTTTCCTCTGGCAACTCATTCCCACTCTCTATGTCTCATCAATTGGCGGTTACGAAATTGAACAGATGCTTAGTATTATTATCCTAATCATCCCGAAACCTTCTGTTCCATCTTCTCCTCAAATATCAGATTTTAGGCATCAACAAGGATGAGGAAGTGAACAAATTGGGCAAACTTTTTATAAGAGGAAATTTTCTGGTATGTCTTGATCAATTTATAAATTTTGATTTTGTTATGGATTTGTTTGTTTTATTGTGTTAGAGTTAGATACAGTGTGGTTTTGAAGTGATTTGATTATCACTTTTGGTAATTGGTGGTTTTGGTTGTTTTCTTTTCTTGTTTTTTTTAACTGGATGGAGACAGATTAGGTGGAATTAGGTATTCAGCCTGAATTGAAATCGGGATTATGTGAAGTTTCAATTTTTTTCGATGCGTTATCTGTTGAAATCTTGTGATTGAGTGCACAATTGTGATCTTTTGGGGAAATTTATTGTGGTTTGAAGATGTGATTACTTGATCTGTACTATATATGGACAGATTATATAAAGTGTCTGGAATGGCACTGAGTTAGTTTGCGGAAAAAGTCATTCTTACTTTAGCAACATAAGTAATGTGAACTCGCAATATGTATAGAGTTTAGTGGATGCGGGATCTGAAAAGATCTTGAATTGCCAGTTTGTAAATTTTGTGAAGTTGAGGATTTGGAGGGCAGAGTGTGATTTTACTAGACCTTTTAAAATTGGACCTGATTGCTTATTTTCTGTTGTTGGTTCATTTTATGAAATTCTGGGTAGTAACATGTAAGTTCTGTAAAGTGTAAACTATGTACCTAAAACAGTTCAAGAGATGGAGTATCAAAGCTTCTGTTGCATTCTTTTTTAATTTTGACTATTGGTTTAGGGATTGATTTTTGTAGATTTTCACTTGCTTCTTGCACACTAGAGATTGGAATTAATTTGTATACGAAAAATGTGATTTTTCATCAAGTCATGAACGTAGAGAAACTAACAGTTTAATGCTTGTAGATTCTTATAACATTATGGAAAGGGTGTGTTTGGAGCTTGTCAAGCCTTAGTTTGTAGAAACCTTAATGAGTATTTTGGATTTTTTATGGGATTGTCAAATTTTCATGGGTTTATATATGTACTCATACATTAGGTAGTGCGAAGACTTAGCACGACTCTAACGTCATAAGCTTGGATTTACATCTACATCATCAAAAATTACTTTTAGGTATATTCTTGTGAAAGTATTTGATTGGGATTGAGATTGGTTTATTAATTTGAGTGCCTCTGATTATCCGCTTGTGACCCAGGATAGTAAGTTTTGATTGGTTTATTGGGGTTTTTTGGATTTGGGTTTGTTTATTTAGGTTTTGTGATGTTTGATTGTAAATATGTTGCTCATGTTCTCGTATTTTCCGAGGGATCTGGACTTTATTGATCATACTAGCAACATGGGATGGAAAGAGTATGTTTTGTTGTTTCTTTGTTTGTGTGTGTGTGTGTGTGTGTTTGTTTTGGTGGATTGTTGAGATGGGTTTTGTGCAGGTTTCAGAGGGCAAAGCCGGTGACAATTGATCTAGGGCTATACATTTCGAAGAAGCAGGATATGTTCTGGATTACTCAGCGGAGGAGTGTGCCCACTGCCTTTAAACTCTTTACAGGTAAATGTTTTGTTTCGGAACTTGATTTGAACATGAAATGCATATTTTCTACTAACGTGTAATTGATTAATTGGCTGGATATTAGGATTGATATGGATCTTTTGATTAGTTGCATGTAACATTAGTTTCTTGACAAAAAAAGGTTGCATGACGGTGCTATAGGTTACCTGTTGTACAGATCTAATTTCGAGATTAGAGACTCACTAAGGTTATAATTTGCCTTATATGCAAGTATGTTTGAGAGAACTGGTTATGAAATCTCAAATACAAAGGAAAAATATTGCAAGTGATTTGCTATTGTGATCCCAAACATGCTTAAAATCGCAATGCTGGAGGATCAACAATTTGGTGTGTACTCAATCATGTGTGAGAAATTGATTCATGGCATAAGAAGTATGAAGCTTGTGTATTGGTCAGTTTGAAGCTTAAAGGTAGGTATATGGCTAATTTGTTTGCAAGTGATTTTTTATGAAGAAAATCAGCTACCTATTGACTATATTCTGACAGACAATTAAATTTATGTTTAACGAAACTCACATATATAGATGTGCCATCCTTTGAGAATATAAATTTTGCAAGAAGATATTGAGATGCTGATCACCCCAGAGAAGCATTGGTAATTATGTCCACCAAATGATTCGTTATCTCAAGGGTCTGCTAATATTCTATATCATGTTAGGATGATTAAGTTTCAGGACTGGTTTTAGTTTTCAAGTACTTAAGGATTCAGTTTTGAGTTGTGAATTATTATACACCTTCTGCAATGCATATAAGTGGATATATGAGTAACTTGTGACTCATAATGCTATTAATTGTCCTTTGCTTCAACTTGTCTATATTTACAATTAAATGATAAAAATAGAAGGAATGGGTGCATCTCATTAAGAGTTTGTTGAGATGGTTTGTGGCAATTAGAATTAATGGAGCAAGGAGAGTAGACGTATAAATAAATGAATTGAAATGATTAAAAAAGGATACGGTAGATACATAATTAATAGGAGATGTTTTAAATATTTGGGTTAAAAGTTTTTTTTTATTTCCTTATTTTGTTTGCTCCCTTGGTTACTTGAATAAATTACTATATACCAAAATATACTCCTTCCTTTGTGGCTTTCTCTTCAATTCTTCATACCTAGATATGAGCATATAGTGATATAGATTACATTCATCATGATGATTTACTTAATACTGCGCATTTAGATTACATTCACCCACTTAACCCAAATATCAGAGACTCACTACATGTGACTTGATGTAATTTATCATCTTATGTTTGGGTGCTTTTTGTCATGGTCACAATATAGGATTCATATAGCCGATCCCAAACATTTGGGATAAAGGCTATTTTGTTGTTTAATCATTCATTCCTCGTCCTCTGGAAAAAAAAAGATTAGGTATTGAACATGACCCAAGATGCCCCACAAAATAATTGAGGTGGTTTTACAATATCAATAACTTGAGATCTGTTATCAGTAAGTTGATGCAAATTTCTGGTAGTTATGAACTTATAAGTTATAACCCTGCTAATAAATCTTAAAGACCAGTTAGTAGGTACGTAAGCCTACCTTTCTTGTTCTGTAACCTGGGAGTACATGTTTCTTTGTGTATGTTATGTTCACTGTAGCATGCTACTATTTAGGTCATTATTTTGTGCGGCTATCCGTTTCGATATATGATGGCTTTGCATGATTGATGTTAGTCTGAATCTGATCCACTCAATTAGCCTCTTAATGAATCAATCAGATAACGAAATACAAAATTAACAGTTCTTCAAAACTACACTTCATTAGAAGATTGTGTTACCGCTTTATGGGTGCACATCTATGACACATGCATATTAACTTCTCGTGTCTCAAACCTTATGGCAAATGTGTTATGTTACATTGACTTTGTATGTGCCTTGAGAGAGTATAGTCTTTGTTTTTCCCCATCCTTTAACTTTTTTTTAATCCAGATTAAGTCGCCTCTTGGTTAAGTGAGTTTAAAGTGGTCCATTGAGTCAGTTCTTCTTAAACACCAATTGGTCCTAAAAGATTCATATAAAATCCTTCTTTTGTCTATTCTTCCTTTTGTATGAATTTGGCATGAAGTTATAGGGTTGACATTTGATACCTACTTGCAAACTTTTATCAAAACTTTCGGAGGATCCATGTTCTGTATAGCTATTATTTTCATGAGAAAAGATCTAGATGATGGCATAGTGATGTTGAAGTCTCAAGTCTTATGCTAATCTTTTCTTGCGTTTACCTCAACTGACAAGAAACTTGCTTAGGAAGCTATGCATTTATTTATGGACAAACGTATGCCAAGTTTCAAGCATTATTTCTGGTAGTTCTTGCTTTTCAAAGGTAAGCATTTATGACTTGTGACTACTCATTAAACTAGGTGAAGAACAACACCACAGATCAACTTATACTATTTAATAAGAATGATGATGATGTAGCAGCTTATACTATTGAATAAGAATGACGACGACGACGTATAATACTAATGAGTAATGAGGAACAGATTGCATTGCTGAGACAATTATATAACTTCCTTTCTTTTCCCTTCTCTTATCTTATTTCAGCTATTTTCTTGATCTATATTATCATTGGTTCATGGGTTAATTGTGGATAGACCCCCTGTATCATCACTGAATTGCGGATACACCTGATCCTTGTTTGGTTGTCAGGAACAAAACTGCTCTTCGGCCCGGGCTTGGTGCGATTAGGCTCGAGAGGCTTATGACTTATTGAACCACAGTGAATTGGGATGAAATTTCTTTGTAACTAAAGAGTAATTTATAAGAGTTATGGGTGTATTGAACCACAGTGAATTGGGATGAAATTTCTTTGTAACTAAAGAGTAATTTATAAGAGTTATGGGTGTAGCCTCTTGAAGTTGTTGGATCTCGGTAATAGACTCTTCTGAACTGTGTTTTTACGAGCATTGTACACATTGATTTTTATGTTTCGTTGAAGCAAGGTACTTTATATACAATCCGACATATTCACATTGGACATAAGATAATCTTTATGCTTAGAAGTAACTACAATCCAATCAAAAAGTATACTGTCATGTCTTAGCGCGAAATTGATAAATCTCAGAATCCATTGAAGATTGTTTTTTGAATTCAAAAAGAACAATCTTTAAATTCATGAAGAATTTCGAATTCGAATCCATTGAAGATTGTTTTTTGAATTCAAAAAGAACAATCTTTAAATTCATGAAGAATTTCGAATTCACGAAGAAAATTAATATAAGAAATTTCACGGATGTAAAGTCATGCCTCTAGGACTTATACTCTGCCTAGCTAAAAAGAAAAACAAACTGGACTCTTACTAGGACTCGGATTTTATTAAAAATAGAGATAGCAAAACTATCATTAAAAGACTCCCTATGATTAAGGAAATAAAACATTCAAATTTAGGATCAAGTCGGATTTTCAAATCAAAATAGATTTCTAAACCATTATCAAAAGTAGTAAAAAGCTGACAAAAAGTTTGATATCTCCCAAGCCTGAGGGAATTGCGTGAAACAAACGGTGGTAAACCGACTAGCAATAGGTTTGATTGACTTTGTCTCGAAAAAATATGTGATTTTATATTTTATCTATCCAATTCTAACACGTAGTTTGGAAGATACAACTCATTCAATTAAATAAAATTATAATTTAAAATAATGTTAAAAATTTTACCACGTGCAATGCACGTGCAATCCAACTAGTATATATAAAAGAGCTAGAAATAGAGTTTAGAAAACTTCTCAATAGATCAAGAGATTGAGGGAGGATGGTTGGATGCTCAAACACCAATAAATAATCTCATCAAGCTCTTGTGAAATTGATTTCTTAAAATCAAACTCTCAAATGCTTAAAAGCTTTTTAAACACACTTAAACAAAAACTTAAACCCTTGATGAAACTCTTTTAAACTTGGTTTAAAACCCTCTCTTAGTTGCTCCTGAAAGAAGAGAGCAATGGGTTTTTATACTCACTCAAAACTTCAGCAAACACCCCACTAAAAATGACAACAAAGCCCCCAAAAAAACATAGCTGGAAATAGTCGTTGGAGTCCAATGGATAGTTCGGCGGTCGACCGTGGGAATCTCGCGGTCGATCGCGAGCAGCACAGAAACAAAGAAAGGGCTCTGGACAACAGACGGTCGACCGCGAGAACATCCGGTCGACCGTCACGGTCGGCCGCGAGCCTCTAAAAAACTTCCCGAGTCTCATATGAGAAAACAGGTTTGAAAGTAATTTTCTGATTTTAAAACCCTGTTTAAAAATATCAAACAAATTCCAAAAATTATGAAACTTTGGGAAATGATTGTAGACATGATAATATACAAGCTACAAAAACTGGTTTTCAGAAAGGACCTCCCAAATAAAAAATATTATTATTTTACAAAATAATCCAAAATATGAAAATGTAAACATATGAGTTTTGACATTTTAGCTTAACCATGTTTTGAAACATTATAAAATGATTATATAAACTTAATAAAAGATGTATATGATTGTTATTAAATCCATAAACCAAGAAAACAATATTTTCACAAAATTGCATATTTTGCAAACATTTCAAAAGTAAATATGATTTCATTAAACCAAATAAAATTGATATTGATGAAATCATATATATGCATATAAGTATGAAACAAGAAATGTAGTTTTAATTGTATTCAATTGTTTCATAGTAAAACTTAAAAACTATCAAACCAAAACATATATGTATATATATAACTATATATATAAAACCAAAACATGTATGTGTGTATATGATTAAGCTTAATAATATAAACTCCTAAACTAAATTACCCAAGCTTGATCTTGATCTTCAATAGCTTGACTTGATAATCTGCAGATGAAGCTTGAACTTGGATCTTTAACTTGAATTGTACATAGCTTCACCTACTATTCCGCCAACCTCCATTTGATATGATCGTTATGGCGCAATCCATCCAACCTCCAACATGTTGTTTGTCTACAATAAATAGATAAACACAAACACTAGACAAACAATATTAGTTATAAATTGTTTGTTAAACATCATCAAAATAAAAAGGCCAACTATCTCTTACTTTTTGATAATGACAAACAATTTACAAAAAGGATATATGCATGAAAGTAAATGAATATATAAGTTACAATAATCATGCATGTAAGCAAACACGATAGATATACTCATGCATGTAAGCAAACAAGATAGATATACTCACAATATTTCTCCTCCTTTGACAACATCAAAAAGAGGAAAAACCATAAAGATGAAAGAGAGCGAAAACTCCCCCTACAAATAAGCATGGGTGAGTATAAAACAAGTATAGGGATTGCTCCCCCTATCAAAATGACTTATGGAAAATATACAATAAAGATCAAGGCAAATATATGTAAGCAAGCATAGATAAAAAATATGCTAAACACCACTCACAAAAAATATAATGAGGACACATAATGATATGTCATTATAAAGTTAGTGTCTTATTATACTAACATAAAAACCATGAATAAGAATAGATTTATGAAATTAAAAAAAAGGAACATGAGAATCATGCAAAAAGTTTTCAAATGAAAACAAATCAACCAAAAGAAATCATAAATCAAAGTTTAAATCCAAAAACGATGTTTGATCAATAAAGAGAACTTTCTTTGAAGGACTTGATCAAACCACTCATAGAATACATTATAAAGCATATATGAAATTTGAATCATCTATTTGTGCTATATAATGAATTCAAAAGAACAAATCAAAACAAAATTTTCATAGTTCAAAAGTGAGATTACAAAACATACAAAAATCATGAACTATGGACTAAAAATCATCTTTAAGAGTATAAAACTAAACCATCATTGATTTTCACAAATGAGAGGCAACCATATCAAGCTCTTGAGCTTGTTTCAACCCATATAAATATTTTAGTACCCGATAAACAACGTTTAGGAATAAACACCCAATAAATCCGAGGGGTTAAATAAACATAAACCTCTCATCAAAAGCGAAACTAATAGTCATGAAAACAAAAGAATTGATCAAAGAAGGATCGTTTTCATATTAAAAAAATTTTAAAGCATAACTTTCAAAACCAAGAAAAGGAAAAAGTAAAAGTACTAAAATTCTTGGTTTAAAAATCATTTTGGCACCCAAGAATTCTTGGTGCCGGATTGGTTAGGTACATGATCCCTATCATTCAAGCTCAAAGCCCTAGGGTTATGAACCCTCTTGGGCATATGTGGTGCACGAGATCGGTCATAGCAATAATCACTCAAATGACCATTCTGATTGCAATATGTACAATGAAAAGGAAGCATTTGTTTATGTTTATTAAAAGGTGCACGTGGAACATTTGCAAACAAAGGTAAATTATTTGAAGCTTTTTGCAAATGTGAAACATTATCAAAACAAAACTTTCCTAAGTGGCCAAATCTACCATAAACATTACATTTATAAACATGTGGTCTACTAGAAACATTTGGCAAATAAGACTTATTTTTTAAATCAAAACAATATTTGGCCAAATGACCAAAACGACCACAATGATCACACTTGAACACCCTAGCATGCTTATGATGAACTTTGTGAGAATGAGCATGTGAATGTCCCCGGCAGATTGGAAGGGATGACTCCTTGGTTCTAGAGGAACAACCGCCATTGGTCTCTCTCTATGGTCATATGCCTACCGTCCCAACTAATCTCTATCAACTCTGGGTCGGTCCTAAAGGGCTGCGCACGCTGGGGCATGAAGTCAATGCGAGTGTATCCCTCAGTCCTCTGCAAATTCTCCCTACCGATTACCTGCGTGACTGCGTAGCCTTCCCTTAGGATCCCGTCGACTGGAGAGATGTAGCGAAAACCAATCCTCTTAGGGACATCAGACAAATCCCTGATCTAGAGAAGCACTTTGCATTCTTCGAAATTAGCATGGTTTTTGACACCACAATAGCTCATGATGCATTCATCGATGGGGTCGAGCAGTGATTGCAAAAATTCAAAATCCCAGAGATGGTATGAGAGGTTGAAGAGGCGGATCCATAATAGAAAGGGTTACGGAACATGTGAAAGTCTGTAAAGCCTGAGATCCTCACTCCAACGGTGGAATCTGCCCTTAAAGGTGCCCATATCTACCAGGCCGAGCTTTATGGCTTGGGCAAGAAGTTCGGATGATGGAAACTGCACCATGAAGCTGTGTCCTGCCGCTTCTCTAACTTGATGGGGCCATGACCTGAGATTGAATTTAGAAGCCATCATCTCTTTGAGCTCCTGGACGGATGGACGGTCTGACCTAAGATTGAAGATGGCGAAAGCAGATAGATGTCGGATGATGCTGGAGGTGTTGGCAGGGATGGTAAGAATCCTTAGAGGGGCACGAGTAGTAATACCATGATGACAATTTTCAGAGGTATGTCCGGACCCATGGCAGTATGCACAAGTGCCATCCAAAGCCATCTTTTATGATTTATGACAGAGGTTAAAGACGCTGAGTTTAGGAATTTGTTAGGGGCGGAGGGGTTTACAGAGTCACTTACAAGGGTGGAAGAAGTTGAAGGGTTGTGGAAAAAAGGCTGTGACGTGAGCGTGAGGGTCGAGGGAAATATTATTTTAACAGCCTGTCCTGAATTGTGAACACGCGGATATATGATGTGACATGTTGGGGTAGTAGGACATGTCTTGGAAAGCCACAGATAATTAAATGATATAATGAATAGAGCTAACACTTACTCAAATAGAGCTTGTCCAGAGTTATAACTAGTTGTATACAAGCTAGAACTAGCGTTAGAGCAGTTAGAACCAATGTATAAACAAGAACCAACACTTGTGAAGGGAAAAACTGTAGGCTGGATGTAGAGCTAACAAGGGGTGGGTTAGAACTGGCTTTATACAAGGTAGAACTAGCGTTGGAGCAGTTAAAACTAACGTAGCAGCTAGGATGAACAATTATGGAGGGAAAAAACTTAGGCTGGAGGAAGAGCTAGCAAGGTGTGGGCTAGAACTGGCTGTATACAAGCTAGAACTAGCATTGAAGCAGTTAGAACTAACGTAGCAGCTAGGACGAACAATTATGGATGGAAAAAACGCGGGCTGGAGTTAGAGCTAATAAGGTATGGGCTAGAACTGGTTGTATACAAGTTAGAACTAGCGTTGGAGTAGTTAGAACTAACGTAGCAGCTAGGTCGAACAATTGTGGAGGGAAAAAACGCGGGTTGGAGTTAGAGCTAATAAGGTGTGGGATAGAATTGGTTGTATACAAGCTAGAACTAGCGTTGGAGCAGTTAGAACTAACGTAGCAACTAGAACCAACAATTGTGGAGGGGAAAAAACACGAACTGGAGGAAGAGCTAACAAGGTGTGGGCTAGAACTGGCTGTATACAAGCTAGAACTAGCGTTGGAGCAGTTAGAAGTAACGTAGCAACTAGAACCAACAGTTATGGTGGAAAAAAACGCAGGCTGGAGGAAGAGCTAACAAAATGTGGGTTAGAACTGGCTGTATACAAGCAAGAACTAGCGTTTGAGCCGTTAGAACTAACGTAGCAACTAGAAACAATAATTATGGAGGGAAAAAACGCGGGCTGGAGTTAGAGCTAATAAGGTGTGGGCAAGAACTGACTGTATACAAGCTAGAACTAGGTTGGAGTAGTTAGAACTAACATAGCAATTAGAACCAACAATTGTGGAGGGAAAAAATGCGGGCTAGAGTTAGAGCTAACAAGGTGTGGGCTAGAACTGACTGTATATAAGCTAGAACTAGCGTTGGAGCAATTAGTACTAACGTAGCAGCTAGGGTGAACAATTGTGGAGGGAAAAAGCACGGGCTGGAGTTAGAGCTAACAATGTGTGGGCTAGAACTGGTTGTATACAAGCAGAACTAGCGTTGGAGCAGTTAGAACTAAGGTAGCATCTAGGACGAATAATTATGGAGGGGCAAAACCCGGGCTGGAGGAAGAGCTAACAAGGTGTGGGCTAGAACTGACTGTATACAAGCTAGAACTAACGTTGGAGCAGTTAGAACTAACGTAGCAACTAGAACCAACAATTATGGAGGAAAAAAACGCGGGCAGGAGGAAGAGCTAACAAGGTGTGGGCTAGAATTGACTGTATACAAGCTAGAACTAGTATTGGAGCAGTTAGAACTAACGTAGAAACTAGGACGAACACTTGTGAAGGGAAAAAACGTGGGCTGGAGGAAGAGCTAACAAGGTGTCGGCTAGAACTAGCTGTATACAAGCTAGAACTGGCGTTGGAGCAGTTAGAACTAACGTAGCAACTAGAACCAGCAATTATAGAGGGAAAAAACGTGGGCTGGAGGAAGAGCTAACAAGGTGTGGGTTAGAACTGGCTGTATACAAGCTAAAACTAGTGTTGGACAAGTTAGAACTAACATAGCAACTAGAACCAACAATTGTGAAGGGAAAAACGCGGGCTGAAGGAATAGCTAATAAGGTGTGGGCTAGAACTGGTTGTATACAAGTTAGAACTAACGTTGGAGCAGTTAGAACTAACGTAACAACTAGAACCAACAATTGTGGAGGGAAAAAACACGGACTGGAGTTAGAGCTAACAATGTGTGGGCTAGAACTGGCTGTATACAAGCTAGAATTAGCGTTGGAGAAGTTAGAACTAACATAGCAACTAGGGCGAACACTTGTAACAAAGAACTAACTCGAGTACTACTAGAACTAACATGATAGCAATTAGAAATACTATATCATTATGTAGAACTATTATCAAATATAACTAACAACAATTTATAAAAACATCACTGTATGTGAAAGATAATTTGTAACGAATTGTTTTCTTTCCATTACAGCAGCAAAGTTGGACAGAACTAACTTCATGCAGTGTTGCGGATAAGAAAGATTATGGATCCTCATTTGTTGCTACCCTCGTTTGAGTGGAAGATATCTGATAAAACTTTATCACTATCATTTTTCTTACGTTTTGAGGGTGTGGGCTTTCCTTGCATGGAGGATGAAGAGTTGGACTTCGATGATCCACCTTGCGAGACAGAAGGGTTACCTGGATGAGGAGCATTGGCGGTGGGGAGAGCCGCCGGCAAATTGGAAGGGTCGATCCCTTGGTTCTGGAGAAAGAGATACCACTGGTCTCTATCCACAGTCATGTGTCTACCGTCCCAGCTAACCTCCTGCAACTCTGGATCAGAACTAATAGGCTACGCAGGCTGTGGCCCTAAGTTAAGGCGAGTGGATCCCTGAGCCCTCTCCAAACCCCTCCTGCATTGGACCTACGTGACCGCGCAGCCTTCCTTTATGTTGCCGTCAACTGGAGATGTGTAACGGAACCCAAGCCTCTTAAGGATGTCAAATAAATCCCTAACCTTGAGGAGCACTTTACAGCCTTCGAAGTTAGTATTAGTTATGACGTCACTAGAGCACATAATGCATTCACCAATACCATCAAGGAGAGATTGCAGGAATTCATAATTTCAGAGATGGTATGAGACATTAAAGAGGCGGATCCATACTAGAAAAGGTTGGGGCAATGTTGATAACATGTGATCTTCCCTCCAACGGCGGAATCTTCCCCTAAAGGTGCCCATGTCTACTAGGCCGAGCTCTATGGCTTGGGCAAGAAGGGCGTCCGATGGAAACTACACCATGAAGCTATGGCATGCCGCATTTTTTATTTGATGGGGCCATGACCTTAGATTGAAGCGATAAGCCAACATCTCTTTGAGCTCCAGGACGGATGGTCGGCCTGCTTCAAGATTGAAGATGGTGAAAGCAGAGAGATGTCTGATGGTACTGGCGGTGTTAGGGGACTGTAAGAAACCTTGGAGGGACACGAGCAATAATACCGTGATGACAATCTCGAGAGAGGTGTCCTGACCCATGGCAATGTACACAAGCGCCATCCTTATCCATCTGTGATGTTAACTAACAAAGATTGAAGACGCTGGGTTTTGGAGTTTGTTTGGAAATGAGGGGTTTAGAGAGTCGCTGACGCTGGTGGAAGAAGTTGATGGGTTGTAAAGGAATGGCGGTAGCGTGAGTATCGAGAGAAATATTATCGAACTATATTAACTGCGAATATATGATGTGATGACTATTGGGGTGATAGGACATGTCTTAGAAAGGAGCAAATAGCCGGTGTGACTATTGGGGGTGAAGGGATACTTCTTTCTTGGGAAGATGCACACTAGAGCCAACAAGAAACGAGCTAGAACTAAAATGTTTTACACTAGAACTAACACTTACAAAGTTAAAACTAACGCGAAGCTATAGTTAACAAGAATCGGGATAGAACTAATGTTGTATTGCTTAGTATTAACACTTAATCCAGAAGAACTAACATGAAGTTAGAACTAACAAGAAACGAGATAGAACCAGCAGAAAGGAACGTAATACACTTAAACTAACGCTCAATTAGAGCTAACAAAAATGAGCTAGAACAGTCGCAACTGCAATTAGAACTAACAAGGGCTCTTTTAGACCAACAGGACGTTAGAGCTAGCAATACATCTAATAATGTACATTTTTAATTAAATATACATACATTATTGTATTTTTATAAATATTGAATCATTGTATTTTTATAAACATTGAATCATTGTATTTGTATAAACATATTATTCATCACTATATGCTGACCCGTCTGCATGTCTTTGCTCACAACCAGCTAACAATAATTGTGCAGTAACTCTCGCTCGCATAGCTTCAGGGATATCATCTAGAGGATTAACCCACAATGTCGAGCGACCTTCAATTATTGCTTAGATGTAGAGGTAGAGGAACACACCACAGTTATAGCTGCAACATAGAATGTTATATTAGACATTTTCACTAGAGATAGAACTATAACACGATTTAGACGAAGGAACTAACCTCCCTCTTTATTGCTCGTATTTGATGGCCTTGTATTTAAATACTCTGGATACATTTGGCCTAATAAAATCAACTTGTTGTTCATTAAAATAGTTTATGATTTTATTAACAGGCTCCATCCAAGCTTCATGGCCAACAGAACTGTAGTGGTTGACGACCTTTTCTTTTAGATCAACTTCAACCAGATGCTAGTGGTCGTTCCTGACCAACGGGATCAACATATGCTGTATGCGAACGGCGGTGTATTTTTTAATATATAGCAAAAATAGCTCATAATGTGATGGGTCGATGGAGTAGAGTGAGTGCTGCCAAGAGTACCACGTAATGTCCAGTATTATGCATAAGGGATGATAGAACCAACATGGAATACATTAGGACTAACATGTTATAAGCTAGAATTAACACGACGCCAGAACATGGAATACATTAGGACTAACATGTTATAAGCTAGAATTAACACGACGCCAGTTAGAACTAACATGGATACTGGCAGAACTAACATGAAACATGTTATAAGCTAGAATTAACACGACGCCAGTTAGAACTAACATGGATACTGGCAGAACTAACATGAAACAATTTAGAACTAACATTTACCTTGTTAGGGCTAACGTGACGCAAACTAGAACTAACATGGCTCATGCAGAACTTACATGGCTAGAACTAGAACTAACATGCATTTTCGCCAAAACTAACACGATAATTTAAAACTAACATGTACTTACAAGAAAGAACACTGAGACGACTCCAAATTTTTTGTCATATGCCTCTTGCTGGAGCGTGTCCAACAATGCTTCTTCCATCTGTAACATCAATGAAACATTAAAATTCAATATATGAACAAGACATTATACATTATTAAGCATATATAATCTAACATTGTCATCAAGCCGGCCACCACGAAGCAAATGCAACAACTCTTCTCTGTTCAAAGTGCTATTGGCTGTTTTAATAATATCATATCTCCTGAAAATCAGAACTAACATGGATTAGGACTAACATGTAACGAATTAGCATATAAATAGTCAATTGAATCAGAACTAACATGGATTAGGACTAACATGTAACGAATTAGCATATAAATAGTCAATTGAACCTTACCTGTGAATCTTTTGGGAGCAAAACACTAACATGTAACGAATTAGCATATAAATAGTCAATTGAACCTTACCTGTGAATCTTTTGGGAGCAAAACTTGGTTAGACAATTATTTTCAGTTGCGGCGAGTCTAGCTGATATTATAGATGGTATCCTAAAATTATGTACAAAAGTACCCCTGCTATCTATTATATGTATGCTAAATAATGCATGGTCTAGAATATCTTTATTTAGCTCGCCCAATAGAACTTACTCCTCAGCCGTCATTGGCTTCAAACTCAACGCATCCCAAAGGGATATTGTTTGCCGGTATAAAAATGGGTAACTTTGTCAACTGTATGTACATCATCAGGACTTGCAAATATATCTATAATAACTTTTTGCTTTTTCTTTGTTTTTTCCTTTCCCTTTGCCTTTCCCTTTACCTCTGCGTATGTGGTCTGACACCATTTAGACCACTTACTTGCCCTTCGCAACTTCCTCGATGTGGCTTCTATAACTTTCTCTATTTACACATCACTTGACAGAGCTTCTAAGATTTTGTCCACCTGATATGAAATATTAACAATTGCCTCAGCCGAACTATCTACATTCTCACATTCTCTTCCAACATGCTCCTCTTCCCTATACATAATCTCCTCCTCTTTCTTTACATTCTCCTCAACCCTACTATCTATATTCTCCCCTTCTCTACCAACATGTCCCTCTTCCCTATGTACAATCTCCTCCTTTTTCTGTACAATGGCCTCAACCCTGCTATCTACATTCCCTCCTTCTCCACCAACAAGCTCCTCTTTATTCTCTGATTTCTCCTCCTCCTTCTCTAGATTCTCCACTTCTCTATCTATATTTTCCTCATCCTTATCTACATTATCCTCAACCCTATTATCTAAAATAACCTCTTCTCTATCTACATTCTCCATAACTTTGCCTTCCATTGTCGTGACCTCCAAATCAACTTCACATCCATGAACAACAACATCATCAACATGCTCCTAAGCATCATCCTAAACCATCTTATGTTCAGCTTCTTGCATGATGTGGTCTTCCTTATGTAATCTACTTGATTTGGATGTTTGTTCCTCCTCATCAAGCCGTGACTTCGGCTTTATTTTTTTTTTACAATTTTCTGTTTGATATTTACCTTCAGCACCACCGAGTCTATGACCTCATCATGTCTTCCAAGTTCTTTAATTATTCTGTTTAGCCTGTTGATCTCAATCATAAATTATTTATAATATGTACTCTTGCTCTGCTTTGTGGCAAAGAGTAGTCGTTTGAGGAATTTAGCAGAGTTTCTCCAAAAGTTAAGTTGCTGCTCAATGGGTAGATCCTTCACCTCCTCTTCATCTTCAAAAGCAATGTCAATATGTTTTGACATGATTTGAAATTATTATGGGATTATATTATAATAAAATAGGATTAGACATATATGGATATTGTTTACATTTAGCTATAGACAACTTAGACTTAACATGATACTTACATAACCTATTGAGAAGTTCTTCGTTTCCTCCACATTCACCTTCCTCTTTAACTTAGGCACATGACGCACTCCTTCACCCCCCCCGAATGGCGGTAAGTGCATGTACATTTGAAGGAGCATGCCCAACTTCCACAATAGGCCTATAAACTTTAGTTATTAAAGTTGATTTAGCCTTTGATGCATTGGTCCTCACCCTCATAGATGAGACTTTCACCTCCTCTGATACCCAGTTTGTCATTGGAGGTCTGGAGATGTCGACGTAGGCATATTTCTTTATGCCTGTCATCTCGTAGTACCAAAGCTGAAGCAAATACATTAAGCATTCAAATCAGATCTAACAAGGTATAAATTAGAGCTAACAAACATATACTAACCGATCTTTAGAACTAGAAAACAGATACTCCGTTAGAACTATCATGACGCCAACTAGAACTAACATGCCTCCTATTAGAACTAACACGAGATGCAATAGGACTAACATGACGTACAAACATGAGATAAAACTAACCGACATTTATTGTTAGGTCTCATGTTATGAGTTTACATCTTCTAATCTTGTTTTGATGATCATAAACAATTCCTAATAATGTGTGTCGAGTGTTTACATTTGTTTTGTTAGGTAATCTACACAAATATTCAAGTTGGAGGTTGAATGGATTGCACCACAACGATCATATCAAATGGAGGTTGGCGGATTGTGGTATGAAGCTATGCATTCATCAAGATCCAAATTTAAGCTTCATCCGCAAGTGTACCAAGACAAGCATATTGAAGATCTATCAAGTTTTGGTATAGTAGTTGTTTTGTAGCGTGAATATATTTCAAGCTCAATATATATATACACACACAATTTTGATTTTATTACAAAATAAGTTTATTTGAAAAAACAATGCAATATTGGTTTATTAATCTTGTTTACATTACATTCATGTTTTATAACATTTATAAAAACATTTCATAAGGTTTCCGCATGTTCTTACATGTCAAACTTCATTTTCAAGATTCAACAAAAACATGTATTATGCATATTTTTGATAAACGTTGAGTTTTCACAAATATGAGGACCTTTTTTGCAAAATTCCTTTTCAAACATGTTTGTCAAAATGTTTATAAACTGTTTACAAAGTTTCACATTTTTTGGAATTTATTTACTACTTTTTATAGAGCCTTGAAACTCAATTTTAAAATCAATTCAAGCTGATAACTTGTTATTAGTCGACTAGTCAGTCGACTGATCAGTCGACTAATGAAAGTGCCTGCAATTGCTATTTGCTCTCTGTTTCATTTTGGTCGACTGACCAGTCGACTGATAATCCATCAGTTGACTGATAAAGGTCATCAGTCGCCTGATAAGCTGTCGATTGCTTGTAACGGTCAGCTCATCAGTCAACTGATGGACCCGTTAGTCGACCGATAAGCTCATAAGGGCTAGTTTTCTGCAGTTTCCAGATTTTTATTTTTTGAGCTGTTTTGTCTTTTTCGCTGGGTTTTGGCTGATGTCTTGAGTGCCTATAAATACCCCAGTGCATTCAAATCTTAAAAAAAGGAAAAATTGTTTAATCAAGTTTTGAAAGAGTTTAGTTTGGGTTTAAGCATTGTTTTTAAGTTTGTTTCAAAAGGGGAGTTCTCACAAGGAGGAAGCTTTTGATTTCAACTGAGGAATTCATCCTCATCATCTATCTACAACTCCTTGTGTTTATAGAGAAGATTTCTAACTCTTTTATCTAGCTTATTTATCTTTTGATTTTTATATTCATATCTTAGCTAGTTTTATTCGAGTTAGAATTTTATTGTTCTCATTTATCACTCACACCTCAATTGAGCTTTTAATATTATTCATACAATATATTGTTGGGTTGTGGTGAGTGATTTAGTGAGAGTGAGCTTCATAGTGTTCTCATTCATTGTTAGAGAACAAATCTTGTATTTGAGCCTTATTGTGAGAGTTCACCTTGTAATACACATTTACACCAAGAGGAGTATGTGGTGAGGACGTAGTCGATACCAAGAGGAATGACATCGGTAGTAAAGCCTAGAGAGAGGTAGTAAAGCTGAGCACTTGAGGGAGGCGATATGTGAGGACCAACACTTGAGGTTGTAGTTTGTGTATGTATATTATGAGAGCTTTGTAGAGTTTTCGGTGAGCTAGAAAACCGAGTGTGTAGAGAAGTTCCGGCTTCCAAACCGGGTGTGTCGATAGTGGAGTTCTTCCCGAGAGTGGGGAGCGGAGACGTAGGACGGAAGGTCCGAACTCCGTGATCATACTATTGTGTTTGGTTTGCTCTTTGTGTCCACTATTTATTTATATTGTTTCTTATTTATTTTCCCCTTTGCATATATATCCTTACATATATCTTATTGAATATCATATTTGTTAGGATATATTTGTTAATTAACTTTAATTGGCATTAATATCTAATAAGATTAGCAATAACCCTATTCACCCCCCTCTAGGGTACTTTCATTTATTAGAACTAACGTAACCTAATTATGAACTAACATGACGCCATTTAAGGCTTAGCAACATGACCTAAATAAGGACTAACATGAATACGGCTATAACTAACATGAGCGCAACTAGATCTAACATGGTGAAAATTAGAACTAACATAGCAAAAACTAGAACTAACGTGGCATAAGTTAGAACTCACATGGCATGAATCAGAGCTAGAATGAACCAAAGTGAGTAAAACATGGCACTTACACATAATAGTGTCATGCAACCTGGGACATATGTGACCATTGGCCTCTTCTTCCCTCTAAAGCAACTCCGATGCCCCTGATAATTTATGAATAAAAGAATTCAGCTCATGCTACCGCTTTTACCCTCTCAATGCTATCCAGATATCTGAGTACAAGTCTAGGGATACCCTCCCCGCTTCTGGGGCACCGTATCATAGAGCATTGATACAGAATTTGCACCAGAACAAAGTCTTGGATATCCTGTTTTTCTGTAGATTCCACGACCTTTCCAGTTGCCCTTCAAGGTATCTTCGATGGGTAATTGTTGCCTTTTTTAACTTCTTCATACCTTCAGTTTTGAAAAGATCAGCGAAGCATTGCAATCAGATTCTGTTTCTTGAGTCCCGGTTGATACGTATGACTTCCCCATAAGCTGGGAAGTAAGAATGGTTATGGACCCATTGTAAATCAAATTTAACACTTTTCATGCCCTCAATCTTTAAATCAGGTTATAGAAAATGTGTCATTAGTTCTATCATAATAACTCAGCAGCAATTCAAGTGTGGGGCGATCAGGCGTAGGAGCCCCAAATAAAATGTAGTGCTGAAATATAGATCCGCGATATGCATCCCTGTGACACTGATGCATCTTCGGAGCAATACGCTTCATGAATTGCCAATAAGCCCCGATATTGGCTGTTAGCATTATTGATTCAACCGCATCAGTATCAGCAAGAATTTTCCTGTAAAAAAAACAAATTTCAATTTCAATTAGACCTAACGTGACCTGAATTAGACCTAACACTAACCGACATCTAATAGAACTAACATCGACTGTTATAGAACTAACATTGGACTCAATCTAGAACTAACATGGACTCAGACTAGAACTAACATTGCCTAAGATCACCTGAAATTAGGGCACATTACGTCGAGACCCCAAATAGTGGATAACCTAGCACTTACTGCTTTTTTTAGGAGGGAACGATGGTACGACCAGCCCTTGTCGTTATTCTTTGCTGGTTTCACCATTCTACTGCATGCCTTTGCACGACCAGGAGGGTTTGAGTGGCTTCCTCCGCGCTGCCAACCCCAGATGAACCGACTTTTTCCTTCAAGTCGTCGCGGTGAGCGATTTCATAGTCGTTAACGGATTCTGCTTTCCTGAACGATATTTTTCCTGCGAAAAACCTAGCACTGTAAAAAAAAACACCGACGAGAGAATTAGAAGTTCGAGAGTTTCGGTGGCTCCTAGGCGGTGGAAGAGAGAGAGAGAGAGGTGGGGTTCTTAGGGAGGGGGCGTAGTAAACGAGTACAGTCCCATCAAAGGGGCAAGTTCGTAACTTCACATGGGCTTTTTTTTTGAAAAGCGATACTTTAGGGCCTCGTTACAAATACTGTAGGTATTTGTAGCTTATCCACATGGGGGAAAATATAATGGGCCTCGTCACATGAGGTTTCTGCTTTTGGGGCATCGACACATTTTCCCCTTGTCGATAATATTGGTTAGGAATATAAAATAATCAATAACTTGCTGTCATAATTTTCTAGAAGTTTAGAAATGTATGGTATAGATATTTCATCATATTTTACATACTAAAATAAGTATTTCATCGTATTTTACATACTAACAAAAGGAACATATAAGAAGAGGCTAATAGTAGTACTATCCCTTTGCAAAAGTTGCAGCTTTAGCCCTTCGTTCGTGCAAAAAGATATTACTCAGTTACCTAATATCATGTGTTGTCATAAAACTATTATCAAAGTCATCATTCATCAAATAAAAATCCATAAATCTTAGCGATAAAGCCTAAACCCCACCCGTGAGCCTCCCCTCCCCTCCCCTCCCCTCTTTCCTTACCTCAGATCTCGATACCGCCTCCACGAATTTGGCCCTCGGTCGCCCTCCGTGGCCGAGCGATCAGTCGAAAGGCCGAGGGGGTGGGCCAGAATGACCGAGTGCTCGAAGTCGTCGGGCAGGCCGAAGGTCGCGCCGAGCGACCGAATGTGCTCGAGCCGCAACCGGCGCCGCGGGTGGCGAGGAGGAGAGCAGCTTCTTGAGTCTAAGGGCTGAGTCCGCGATATTGGACTTGACGGCGCCGGACTCAAGTTGGAATTTGGGAGAGGGCGGCGGGGTGAGGCGGGCCCAGAGCTAGCGGAGGACGGGGGTGGTCCGAAGACGTGGAAGGCGTGGGGGTGGTGAGGAGGAGGAGCCGGCGCGAGGGGGCGGAGGCGGCGGCAACGGCGGTAGAGTCAAGGGTGGTTGGCTCGATTTTGCTGTTTTTTTTGGAGAAGGTAGATTTTGCTCATTAATTTTGCAAAAGTGTTGTTTTCAAACATTTCTCCAGGATCAAGTTATCTCTCTGCCTACAAACCATTACTGTTTCAGAATCTAACCATTACTGTTTCAGAATCTAACTAGTTCTCTCTCTGTCTACAAACCATTACTGTTTCAAAATCTAACCATTACTGTTTCAGAATCTAACCACTGCTGTTTCAAAATCTAACTAGTTCTCTCTCTGTCTACAAACCATTACTGTTTCAAAATCTAACCATTACTGTTTCAGAATCTAACCATTGCTGTTCTCAACATTTGTGTCAACATTTCTCTCCCAATCCTGCATTTAAATCCCCCCAACCCCCCCCACAAAAAAAAACAACCATCTTTTCATCATCATCTCTCCAACCTCCTTCATCACATAAATTTCTATGGACAATCTTGAAGAGTATCTATCTAGAAGTGTTGTGTTAGCTGATAATGGCCCCGAGGTAATTCGTGTGAGCCAATTTCAACTCCTACAATATGTGTTTTTTTATTAGTGATGGGAAAATGGGTAGATCATATATAGGTGATGGAGCAATTTCGCATGACAGAGAACTTTATGGATGCTTTCAAGAAATGTCGTCAATAGAGGAATTGTGTTCTAATAATTAAATGATATTTAATATAATTGCCTCATATATTCTAGAATAATGTATGTTTTCTTTGTCACTCATGTCTTATGAGTGAAGCTCTAACGACATTACTTACCCTCCACCTAAATAACTTCAATAATTTTTTTGTTAGAATTATTTACCCTCCACCTAAATAACTTCAATATCATTGTATATACTTTTTTGAAGTTACAGGAGATGTGGACGAAGGATGGGTCCGTTGATCGTTTCGGCAAACCAGCACGAAGAGACATTTCAGGTGGCTGGAGATCAGGCCTATTATTATTGGGTTAGTTAAATTTTGTTACTGAATAATACCAAAAATGTATCATGTATTGAGTTAATTAAGATTTATTTTGCATAAATATTCTTATTATGTTTTAGTTTAGTAATTATAATATATATGGCTTATCATTTGATTTTTATTTTTTATTTTTTGGGAGATGTCATTTGATGCATATTGACTATTGATGCAAATGAAAAGAAAGTCAGCTAACCGTTTGAGTAATAAATCCAATTCATCAAAAGTCATGAAAATATATCCAGTCAATTCCAAGATACAATATTGATGCCCCTGTTTAATTATTACCTTGTTTCCAAAGTCCAATTGATCTAGCTAGACTTTCATGTTGTAGATAATTTCTTAATAGAAATTGGTAAACATATAACGGTACAAAAATGCTCTACCAGTGCATCACCCATGATGGTTAGATCTAAACCCAAATTTTAAGCACCAACATGTTCAGTTATCTAAATTCAGAAACTCAAGGTTTGAGATAAATTCACAAGGGAAAAAGTCTGAAAGAAACCTTCATCCTTGTTCTCTCCTAATCAAATTCTTGACTTGAATTTGTTATTACTGTGAATTATGGACTAAAACAGAGTACATATAATATTTTTTCAGCATTGTAGTATGCTTTTCCTTACATTAATTTTGTGTAATTTGTACTGTGAAAAGCAAATCAAGGACTGTCAGCACTTGCCTTTGTCGGAGTGAAGCAAAATTTGGTGCTTTTCTCAACAAGAGTATTGAAGCAGGCCAATGCATAGGCTTCGAACACCTTCAGCAGAAGGATGAGAACTGTTAACCTCTTCTCTTTAGTGAGCCTTTCTTAGTGATGCTTATTTAGGGAGATACAGAAGTTGCGCCATTTTCCAATCCATTCTAACACTTGTAAGAAAAATCTCGCCACCGTTGAGTATTTTCCCACAATTTATTTGTTTTATTGGTTAGATATTCTATCTTAGTAAAAAAAAATTAAAATCTTCAGGTTTGGACTGTTGATGATTACTTTTATAGTATCTTAGAAGTTTATATAATTATTATATCTGCAAGCCGTTATTATATCTACAAGCCATTAGCTTCTACCCTGTAAAAGTCTGAAAAAATATGCATACAGCTTAAACTGTAGTTGTATTAAGCTAAAATATGTCTGACTTTGAAAATTGCCAGAAATAGTGGCTGTTAAGAATAGTTCTTTGATATTGACTTGTTTTGATGGAATCGAATACATTGAAAGCCAACAAACACATCAATCGAATACATTAAAAGCCAACAAACACGCCATCATAAATTTGGTTCATTTCGGTGAAACATATTTCTGTGAGATGATCGGTGTTAAATGGGTTGTGGGACCCACATATTCATTTTCATGCCAATTGCAGGGTTATTAGTCTGGGAATCGATTTCTTTAAATTTGGGGCCCAATGCATTAATTACATCTCTAGAGGGTAGGTCTCAAGTGCATAGAGATTTTGCCCCCCTTCCTCCAATCAAACAAAAGAATGGGAATTATTTGGGGAAACAGTGAGTGTGTCAGGTGTCAGGTGTTAATTCTATTTCTTATTTTTCTAACCGATCCAAATAGCCCCTAAGTAGAACATGCTACGAGAGCCTATCAAGATTTATCTGCTGGTTAGGCTATCAATGAACATGTTAGAAGTTTATGCATGCAGATTATTTTCTGGATCCTGCAAAAGTTTGAAAGATACACATATAGCTTAAAATCTTGCAATAGTCTAACTTGGAAATTGTTAGAATTTAGGATCTTATAAGCAATAACCTTTGATATTGAATTGGTTTGAAAACTTAATATCATCGCGAAGGCATTAATAGCTGACAAGTTTCCATTTATAAAATATATCTTGTTTTTTAGATTTTAAATCCATGTTAAAGATATATTTCTAATTCTGTTTCTTTCTTGGGCACCAGGGATTGGTAATGCTATCATTGACAACTTCCTACTTGCTGCTAAAACCCTCTGGCTGTGGCAAAGAAGAACTACAATGTGATCCTCACTCTAAGTTTGAACTTGTCATGTTTTACCTCTCTATCTATCTCATAGCATTTGGTAACGGCGCAGGCGAGCCATCCATTGCCACATTTGGAACAGACCAATTCAATGAAGAGCATGAACATGAAAAAATTTTCAGAAATTTCTTCTATAGTTACTTCTACGTAGCCACTAACATTGGTTCTCTCTTCTCTGAGACTATATTGGCTTATCTTCAGAATTTAGGACACTGGACTTTAGGATTTTGGGTTTCTGCAGGAAGTGCTTTATTTGCTCTTGCTGTGTTTCTTGGTGGTAGTTTTAAGTACATGCATTTTCGTCGGTGTGGAAATCCGGTAGCCAGCTTTTTTCAGGTGATTTTCGCAGCGTGTAAAAATCATAGGTAGAAATCCCTGCAAAAGATGGTCTCTATGAACTTCAAGGAGCAGATGGTACAAATAATGGTGGGAAGAGAATACACCACACCAGTGATTTCAAGTAAGTACTTGTAAATTTTTATATTTGGTTATATTTAGAAAAAATATTTTTATTTCCAAACTAGTTTTTAACACTGACATTGTTATTCCTCAAAAAATAAAAATAAAAATAAGAATAAAAATAAAAATAATTAAAACACTTGCATTGTCTCCTGAATTGTTTGTGTATATTCAAGTTCACAAATTCAGATTGTAGGTGATGACATCTCTTGTAAAATATAGGATATATCAATTATGAATTACACATTTCCATAACATTTATCTATGCTTGGTACAATAGGTTTTCACACAAAACATAATTACTCAAATCAGAGTCCATTAGTATATTTCTTGAACTGAAAACACAACAGTTAGGTATTTGGGTCAAAATTGTTCTCAAATTCATTGATCTAAGGGGGTGTTTGGCAAATTGAAAGTGAATTGAATGTATGAAAGTTACTTCTTTTTTACATACGATTTTCACGTCATGTCATCATGCAAGTAAATTACAATGTTTTTTAAAAAATAAATTATTATTAAAAATGCAAATGTGAAGGTGATGTGGAAAAATAGGATTTATTAATAAATATAGTTATAATCAAAAGTGGTCCCCATTCTTTCTACTCTCATGTGACTTCATCATTTTTTAAAGGGAAAGTCAAAATTGCATTAATTCTATATGGCAAATTTTTTACATTTCACTTACATAATCACTTGCATGCAAACAAACATCTAAAAATGTAGAAAGAGAGTTACTTCCACACTTTCGTTTTTCACTTGTTTGCAAATGAACTATGGCATTTTAGGTATTCGATAATCGATGATTGTAATATCTCCATCTAAGTGCCCCTTTAGATATTCAATTGAATATCATATCATATATAATATATATTTCGATATTCGAATTTGGATATAGATAGTCTATTAAGATTTATATCGTTATCCATTGCCTTACCAAAAATTTAAAAAACATGTACATATCATGTCAGATATATATATTTCTTATTTGGAATATGAATATACACTACAACAAAAGTTATAAATTATGATACATTTCTTGTCTCTACATGACACAATTTTATGGAATTACAAATAAAGTGCGACACATATCAAAAGTGTGTTTATAGCATGTATAAAGAACGTCTTTCTACATATGTGAGAATATGTCACAAAACTCATGACACATATATATATCAACAGTGGTGACACATACATGTGTTATAAAACTCATGACACATGTGTCAAGAGTGGTGACACGTAGTTGTGTCTAGACCATAAAATATAAAGAGTATCATCATTCAACACTATTACTTTTCAGAAGGTCACTCGTCCTAGGGTTACTCTCACCAAAGCACACTTAACTATAGGTTTTTTAGCTTATGCACTATCATAAATATTTAATCATCATCATAATTAAAATCTAAGATGTATTATTTAAGGACATTAATAGATCCTCTCACAGTCCATATTGGATTATTAGCCTTTTTAATTATATTTAATTATATATCTAATGACACAAATATGTGTCGTGATTTGCCACACTTTAATCCTTTGTACATAAAATGACATTTTCATGTGTCATAAAATAAGTGTGGACACATATAACTTTTGTTGTAGTGATATTTGCAGATATCTATATCATCTTGCATCCATATCTGGACATATTGTACCTCATATGCATCGATTATTTTCCCTTTGTGCACATTAAGTTTATTTCTCACTTGCCATTTCTCTATTAACGTATTCAATTACATTTTTTCCATTCAGGTTCCTGGACCATGCAGCCATAATCACCTCAAAAGACAATCACCCCCACAAACCAGAACAACCAGCACCCCCCACAACACAACCCATGGCAACTCTGCATAGTGACTCAAGTTGAGGAGGTCAAGTGCAGATTCCGCTTCCTCCCCATCTGGCTCTGCACCATCACATTCTCTAGAACCTTTGTCCAAATGGTCTCTCTCTTCCTTGAACAAGGCACCTCAATGAAAACAACCATATACAAATTCTACATACCCCCAACAAGCATGATAGTATTTGATATCCTCCCACCATTATTTACACCATCTGCTCCTTGAAGTTCATAGAGACGATCTTCTGCAGGGATTTCTACCGATGACTTTTTTCACGCTGCGAAAATCACCTGAAAAAACCTGGCTACCAGATTTCCACCTACGAAAATGCATGTATCTAAACCTACCACCAAAAAACACAGCAAGAGCAAATAAAACACTTACTCTGTAGAAACCCAAAATCCTAAAACCCAGTGTCCTAAATTCTAAAGATAAGCTAGTATAGTCTCGGAGAAGACAGAACCAATGTTAGTAGCTATGTAGAAGTAACTATAGAAGAAGTTTCTAGAAATTTTTTTGTGTTAATGCTCTTCATCGAATTGGTCTGTTCCAAATGTGGCAATGGATGGTTCGCCTGCGCCATTACCAAATGCTACGAGATAGATAGAGAGGTAAAACATGACAAGTTCAAACTTAGAGTGAGGATCACATTGTAGTTCTTCTTTGCCAGAGGGTTTTAGCAGCAAGTAGGAAGTTGTCAATGATAGCATTACCAATCCCTGGTGCCTAAGAAAGAAACAAAATTAGAAAAATATCTTTAACATAGATTTAAAATCTAAAAAAACAAGATATATTTTGTAAATGGAAATTTGTCAGCTATTAATGCGTGTCACAAATGGATTTATTCGGTTCACAGGTGCTTGATGTTATGAGGAGTTTAGGAATTGGGCTCTGTTTGTCCTCTACATCTTTTGGGAGTTATTTTTGTAGTTTGGTGCTAACTGTGGTGATGAAAATTACTACTAAGGAAGGGGATCTTGGTTGGATTCCTGCGAATCTCAATGACAGATTCATGGAGAGGTATTTCTTTCTCATGACAGTGCTAACCGGTATGGAGTTGGTATTGTATATTTGGTTTGCTAGAAGATACAGGTCTATATCGTTGGAGAGGAGAGATTGATTTTGGAATGGAGAATGAGATGTCATAAAATTAGATGGTGGAAAATTTTGGGGTATTGTGATGATTTTTGGAGAGCAATTAACATAATTTTATGATTTGTCTAACTTTTGCGTCTGGAAAACATGGTGACATATAACGCATGAAAGTTTTATGATAGTATTTCGAGTTTTAATAGATTTTATGGTTTATATTTTCTGAAGTGGTTTTATTTTTGAACTTAAATCTTTGGAGGTGTTCGTGTAGGATGAATGTAGTGTTTGTAGTTCTATTAGTTCCCATCCTCCATGTTTTTTATTAAAGATTATTTATTATTTATTTTTATTTTTGAGTGACTGAGATCCACGGTTAAATTCTGGCAACTATAAATTGGTCATAGCTTATAACTACTTTTGAAAAAGGAAACCGACTCAGAAATTCTAAGAACAGAGTATTGATAATTTCACAATTTAATTGCAAAGTAATTTAATAACAGTTCTTGTAACTTGTAAGCATTCGAATGCAGCCGACATCCTTATTTAGCTTAAGAACCAATTCATACCCCTCCAAAATCATTTCATTATACCTGGGAGGTCTGGCTTCACTTTGATATTCATGCCTTGCGAATAAAATAAATTGGAAAAAAAATTTTCTTCAAAAGGACTTGAAATTGGTGTTATGTAGTGCTAGGAAAATTATGGAGAGGAGGGAGGTAGAAGGGCGAGGGAGGGGGGGATTGGGAATTCTAGGCTGTGCTCCAAAATGGTTAAGGGTGTTGAAGCATTTAAACCTTGAATCACACTATATAGCTTATAGTCAAGTAACAGTCCTGGGGATATTTGTGGTAACAGATAACTTAAAACTTTTATGGGGTAAATCAAATTATGTAAATAAAAAGTGTATCAAAATAGGAAAGATTTCAAGATGGTATATCTAAAAATCCAAAAAAAAAAAATACACAACATATGCCATAAAGATGGGGGTAGTCTCATAGCAGTTCGAGAAATTCTTTCTAAACTAATGGAGGACCAATTCCACATTCCAAAGTTCTGCAAGATCATTCATCTTTGGACCTAACTTAAAATGGAAGTTCAGCAGCTCAAAAATCTCCTTGCCTCAAATGCATGTGGTGCCATTATTCCAAGCGCCAACTCAAAGACTTGAACAACTACTTTGGTCTTGAAGCATGAAGAAGTTAAATTTTTTGGCAAGGCCCTTCAAATGACAATTTTATCATCAAACAACAATTTATGCAGATTTAATATTTAAAATAGATAAGTCTGCACATTAGCTCACCAAACATCATGCTTTCTTTACAGTATTATATTTGAAAATAATATTTTAGCATAGAATAGCTTCTCGTGTTGTATTTTCACTCATTTAGCCTCGTAAACTAAACGTAAGAAAAATGCATGGGTTACCTTGATATATATTTCTATTGAACTTTTATTTTAAAAAAAGTTCACATTAGGAAAAAACAAGCTTCCTTGCATGTGATGCATGCTCCATTTGACTAGAAATAATTTGGTAGGTGCTTTTAGCTATTTATCTGAATTTCACTCGGAGAATAATATGCTTCCTATAAGTAGTTGAATTGGAAATTTCCGTTTTCCATACTCCATTTGTTTTGTAAAAGAAAGAGACGGGTTTCTATACATTGATACATCAATTTATATATGTTTGCAAAAGAAAACATCACGGTCATTTGGCAAAGGAGAAAGAAGGTTTTCTTAGGTGATAAACATTTGGTTATATGCCAAAGATCTGAAGGATGGCAAGTGAAGATCTCACTAGTTCAGAAATCTTAAGACATCAAATATGCTAAGGAGAAGAGATAACAAGAAATACATGAAGCAAACATCATAACTAAGAATATTAAGATCCAAAGAGCCTTTACGCAGGGGTGGGAGGGGGTCGGGGGTGGTTATTCGTTGGTGTAAATATGGGGATATTGGTATAATTTTCTTGATACCACTTTTTGGTGTTATTAATTAGGATAATAGGGCTAGGATAACAACTTTTGGTGGGACAATTATCCCACTTCCCCTAAAATTATCCCAGCTATGTAAGAGTTCATATATCCCCACCCACGATATTGCCCAAAATTCTCACTAGAACATGATGGGGTAATTTTTCCCCAGATCACATGGCATTTTTCTCTAGCGTCATCGCCGTCTCCAACCCATCGCGCCTCATCCTTCTTCCTCCCCTATCTCTTCTCACTCTCCTCTAGAACTAGTTTTCTTCCTCTATCTCCTCTCAATGGCCCTTCTCCAACCCTCGTGTAGCGATCTCGACCACTGTAGATAGATTCTGACGTTTTCCCCTCTTTCAGATCCTCCTTACCAGATCCTCCTTACCAGCCATCCCAACGAACTTCGATGCCTCTTTGCAGCCACTTCTAGCGCCTCATCTCCATTCAACCACCTCTTTGCAGCCACTAAAAATATTTTTTAATGTTCCTTTTCTATTTTTTTTGGATTTTCAATTGTCTGGTATTGCTGTTTATTAGAGTTCACTGATTATGTATGAATTGTTAGTCACCAAAGTGTTTTGTTTCTTATAACATTATTGTCTAGATTGTATTCTGCAATTTGAAATTCAAGTCTTCATCACAGTTCTTCTTGTAGTCAATTTCTCATCAAGATTCTAATCATGGATCAAGCTACGCTCTCTTAATTAATTGTTCTATGTGAAAATCATCTTGTTCTAAGATCTTGATACTATGATGATCATTCAAAATTAAGTTTGATTTGCTTAAATTAAGAATTAGGTTTACATTATCATCAAAATTACCTGATCAATAGACTTGTGATATAGTTATGTATAATAGTACTTTAGTATTTATGTTACTTTATATTTAAGGCAAAGAAAGAAGCAAACAATGATTCATCATATTCAATGAACAATTTGATAGTACGAAGAATTTAATCAACCATTACCACATTAGATACACTAACTATCCACCCATTACTATTTCAAAATCTAAATATTAGACATTTGAGGGAAGAAAAAACTTTCGCTTTTTTTAGATATAGCCAAATAAAATTCCTCACCCTGTTCTCAACATTTGTGTCTACATTCCTCTCCCAATCCTGCATTTAATTCTTATGAAATATCAAGTTATCTCTCTATCTACAAACCAATACTGTTTCAAAATCTAAATATCAAACATTTGAGGGGAGAAAAAACTTTTCCTTTTTAAGATATATAGCCAAATAAAATTCCTCCACCCTGTTCTCAACATTTGTGTCTACATTCCTCTCCCAATCTTGTATTTAATTCTCATGAAATATCAAGTTCTCTCTCTGTCTATATAAACCACCACCACACCCCTCCCTCCGACCCAAAAAAAAACAACTATCTTTTCATTATCATCTCTCCAACCTCCTTCATCACATATATTTCTATGGACAATCTTGAAGAGTATCCATCTAGAAGTGTTGTGTTAGCTGATAATGGCCCCGAGGTAATTCATGTGTGCCAATTTCAACTCCTACAATGTGTTTTTTTATTAGTGATGGGAAAATGGGTAGATCATATATAGGTGAAGGAGCAATTTTGCATGACAGAGAACTTTATGGATGCTTTCAAGAAATGTCGTCATTAGAGGAATTGTGTTCTAATAATTAAATGATATTTAATATAATTGTCTCATATATTCTAGAATAATTTTCTTTGTCACTCATGTCTTATGAGTGAAGCTCTAACGACATTACTTACCCTCCACCTAAATAACTTCAATAATTTTTTTTGTTAGAATTATATCACTATATAAATACTTTTTTGAAGTTACAAATGGACATGGAGATGTGGACGAAGGATGGGTCAGTTGATCGTTTCGGCAAACCAGCACGAAGAGATATTTCTGGTGGCTGGAGATCAGGCCTATTATTATTGGGTCAGTTAAATTTTATTACTGAATAATACCAAAAATGTATCATGTATTGAGTTAATTAAGATTTGTTTTGCATTAATATTCTTATTATGTTTTAATTTAGTAATTATAATATATATAAGGCTTATCATTTGATTTTTATTTTTTATTTTTTGGGAGATGTCGTTTGATCCGTATTGGCTATTAATGCAAATGAAAAGAAAGTCAGCTAACCGTTTGAGTAATAAATCCAATTCATCAGAAGTCGTGAAAATATATTCCGTCAATTCCAAGATACAATACTGATGCCCTTGTTTAATTATTACCTTGTTTCCAAAGTCCAATTGACCTGGCTAAACTTTCATGTTGTAGATAATTTCTTAATAGAAAGTGGGAAACATGTAACGCTACAAAAAATGCTTAGATCTAAACCCAAAATTTAAGCACCAACATGTTCAGTTATCTAAATTCAGAAACTCAAGGTTTGAGATGAATTCACAAGGGAAAAAGCCTGAAAGAAACCTTCATCTATGTTCTTTCCTAATCAAATTCTTGGCTTGACTTTGCTATTACAGTGAATTATGGACTTAAACAGAGTACATATAATATTTTTTTCAGCATTTTAGTATGATTGTTCCTTACCTTAGTTTTGCGTAATTTGTACTCTGAAAAGCAAATCAAGGACTGTCAACACTGGCCTTTGTCGGGGTGGAGGTAAATTTGGTGCTTTTCTCCACAAGAGTATTGAAGCAGGCCAATGCAGAGGCTTCGAACACCTTCAGCAGATGGATGGGAACTGTTAACCTCTTCTCTTTAGTGGGTGCCTTTCTTAGTGATGCTTATTTAGGGAGATACAGAAGTTGCGCCATTTTCCAATCCATTCTCACACTTGTAAGAAAAATCTCACCGCCGTCGAGTATTTTCCCACAATTTATTTGTTTTATTGGTTGGATATTCTATCTTAGTATATAAAAAAAATTAAAATCTTCAGGTTTGGAATGTCGATGATTACTATTATAGTATCCTTAGAAGTTTATATAATTATTATACCTGAAAGCCATTATTATATCAGCAAGCCATTAGCTTATACCCTATAAAAACCTGAAAAGTATGCATACAGCTTAAACGGTAGTTGTATTAAGCTAAAATATGGCTGACCTTGGAAATTGCCAGAAACAGTGGCTGTTAAGAATATTTCTTTGATATTGACTTGTTTGGATGGAATCTAATAAATTGAAAGCCAACAAACACGTCAATCGAATACATTGAAAACTAACAAACACGTCAAAATTAAGCACGTGGATAAGCAGCAACATGATCACTAAGAGCATCTCCAACAGCTTCCCCAAAATTTTCTCCAAAATGGAGAAACAAAAGTCATATTCTCCAAATTATTTTTGCTCCAACTCCAACAGCTTCCCCATTTTAAAAAATCGCATTTATTACAATAATAAAGCTCTCCCCAAAAATTTGGAGAATGCTGCAGATTTGGGGAAGGCTCCCTATTTTTTCTCCTCCTTCCCTATTTTGGGGAATGGGATGGGGAATCTGTTGGACCAAAAAAAAACTCTATATTCTCCAAATTTGAGTATTTCAAGAAGATGGGGAAGCTGTTGGAGATGCTCTAAGGGGCTGTGGGTCCCACGTTATCATAAATTTGGTTCATTTCCTAGAAACATATTTTTGTGAGGAAAAATTCCCCAAGGGCCCAAAATATGGGACCAACAGGGAGGACATGTGAGGTGTCACCCTCCTATTGCATAATGAGCTGACCAACATTAATGATGGCGAGCTCATTATGCAATAGGAGGGGTAATGATGACCAGCTCATTATGCAATAGGAGGGAGACACCTCACATGTCCCCCATGTTGTTCCCATATTTTGGGTCCCTGTAGCAAAACTCTTTTGTGAGATGATCCCTGTTAAATGGGTTGTGGGACCCACATATTCATTTTCATGCCCATTGCAGGATTATTAGTTTGGAAATTGGTTTCTTTCAATTTGGGGCTCAATACAGTTATTGTATCTCTAGAGGGTAGGTCTCAAGTGCATAGAGTTTTTTTTTCTTCCTCCAATCAAATTGAAGAAGGGAAATTATTTGGGAAAACGGTGACTGTGTCCGGTGTTAGTTTCTATTTCTTATTTTTCTAACCAATCCAAACAGCCCCTAAGTAGAGCATTCAAAGAGCCTATCAAGATTTATCTGTAGGTTAGGCTATCAATGATCATGTTAGAAGTTTATGCATGCAGATTATTTTCTGGCCCTGCAAAAGTTTGAAAAATATAGATATAGCTTAAAATCTTGCAATAGTCTAAAATGCAACCTGAACTTGGAAATTATTAGAATTTAGGGTCTTATAAGCAATAACATTTGATATTGAATTGGTTTGAAAACTTAATATCATCGTGAAAGCATTAATAGCTGACAAGTTTCCATTTATAAAATATATCTTGTTTTTTTTAGATTTTAAATCTATGTTAAAGATATATTTCTAATTCTGTTTCTTTCTTGGGCACCAGGGATTAGTAATGCTATCATTGACAACTTCCTACTTGTTGTTAAAACCCTCTGGCTGTGGCAAAGAAGAACTACAATGTGATCCTCACTCTGAGTTTGAACTTGCCATGTTTTACCTTTCTATCTATCTCGTAGCATTTGGTAATGGCGCAGGCGAACCATCCATTGCTACATTTGGAACAGACCAATTCGATGAAGAGCATGAACACGAAAAAGCTTCCAAAAACTTCTTCTATAGTTACTTCTACGTAGCCACTAACATTGGTTCTCTCTTCTCCGAGACTATACTGGCTTATCTTCAGAATTTAGGACACTGGGCTTTAGGATTTTGGGTTTCTGCAGGAAGTGCTTTATTTGCTCTTGTTGTGTTTCTTGGTGGTAGTTTTAGGTACAGGCATTTTCGTCGTTGTGGAAATCCGGTAGCCAGGTTTTTTCAGGTGATTTTCGCAGCGTGGAAAAAGTTATCGGTAGAAATCCCTGCAGAAGATGGTCTTTATGAAATTCAAGGAGCAGATGGTGCAAATAATGGTGGGAGGAGAATACACCACACCAGTGATTTCAAGTAAGTACTTGTTAAATTTTTATATTTGTTTATATTTAGAAAAATATTTTCATTTCCAAACTAGTTTTTAACACTTACATTTTTATTCGTCAAAAAATAAAAATAAAAATAAAAATAATTAAAACAATTACATTGTTTCCTGAATTGTTTGTGTATTCAAGTTCACAAATTCAGATTGTAGGTGATGACATCTCTTAGAAAATATAGAATATATCAATTATGAATTACACATTTCCATAACATTTATCTATGCTTGGTACAATAGTGGTTCACACAAAACATAATTACTCAAATCAGAATTCATTACTATATTTTCTGAACTGAAAACACAACAGTTAGGTATTTGGGTGAAAATTGTTCTCAAATTCATTGATCTAAGGGGTGTTTGGCAAATTGAAAGTGAATTGAATGTGTGAAAGTTACTTCTTTTTTGCATACGATTTTCATGTCATGTCATCATGCAAGTAAATTACAATGTTTTTTGAAAAATAAATTATTATTAAAAGTGCAAATGTGAAGGTGATGTGGCAAAATAAGATTTATTAATAAATATAGTTATAATCAAAAGTGGTCCCCATTCTTTCTACTCTCGTGTGACTTTATCATTTTTTTAAGGAAAAGTCAAAATTGCATTAATTCTATGTGGCAACTTTTTTACATTTTACTTATATAATCACTTGCATGCAAACATACATCTAAAAATGTAGAAAGAGAGTCACTTCCACACTTTTGTTTTTCACTTGTATGCAAATGAACCAACTATGACATTTTAGGTATTCGATAATCGATGATTGTGATATCTCCATCTAAGTGCCCCTTTAGATATTCAATTGAATATCATATCATATAATAATATATATTTCGATATTCGAATTTGGATATAGATATTCTATTAAGATTTATATCGTTATCCATTGTCTTACCAAAAATTTAAAAAGCATGTACATATCTTGCCGGATATAGATATTTTTGATTTGGAATATGAATATACACTACAATAAAAGTTATAAATTATGATATATTTTTTGTCTCTACATGACACAAGTTTATGTAGCACAAATAAAGTGCGACGCATATCAAAAGTGTGGTTATAGCATGTATAAAGAGCGTCTTTCTACATATGTGAAAATATGTCACAAAACTCATGACACACTTATATATATCGACAGTGGTGACACATACACGTGTCATAAAACTCATGATACATATATATGCCAAGAGTGTTGACACGTAGTTGTGTCTAAACCATAAAATATAAAGAGTATCATCATTCAACACTATTACTTTCCAGAAGGTCACTCATCCTAGGATAACTCTCACCAAAGCACACTTAACTATAGATTTTTTTAGCTTATGCACTATCATAAATATTTAATCATCATCATAATTAAAAGAACAAATTTTTTAAACAGACCCATTTCAACTTTTTATTTTCAAAACCGACTCTTTTTTTTTTATTTACCAAAACCGACCCGATTTTGTGATTAGCAGACTAATCACCTTCCTAAATAGTCGGGGTTGGCAACCCCGACTATTTAGGACATTAATTTTTAGGGTTTAATGCTTCTAATTAGGGTTTAATACCGTCCTAAATAGTCGGGGTTGCCAACCCCGACTATTTAGGAAGGTGATTAATCTGCTAATCATAAAATCGGGTCGGTTTTGGTAAATAAAAAAAAAAAGAGTCGGTTTTGAAAATTAAAAATTGAAATGGGTCTGTTTAAAAAATTTGTTCTAATTAAAATCTAAGATGTATTATTTAAGCACATTAATAGATCCTCTCACCGTCCATATTGGATTATTAGTCTTTTTTAATTATATTTAATTATATATTTAATAACACAAATATGTGTCGTGATTTGCCACACTTATTATTTGTGTCACTATCGTTTAATCCTTTGTACATAAAATAACATTTTTATATGTGTCATAAAATAAGTGTGGACACTTATAACTTTTGTTGTAGTGATTTTTGAAGATATCCATATCATCTTGCATCCATATCTGAACATATTGTACCTCATATGCATCGATATTTTCCCTTTGTGCACATCAAGTACATTTCTCACTTGCCAATTCTCTACTAACGTATTCAATTACATTTTTTCCATTCAGGTTCCTGGACCATGCAGCCATAATCACCTCAAAAGACAAAATCAACCCCACAAACCAGAACAACCAGCACCCCCGACAACACAACCCATGGCAACTCTGCACAGTGACTCAAGTTGAGGAGGTCAAGTGCGTGTTCCGCCTCCTCCCCATCTGGATCTGCACCATCACATTCTCTGGAACATTTGTCCAAATGGTCTCTCTCTTCATTGAACAAGGCGCCTCAATGAAAACAACCATATACAAATTCCACATACCCCCAGCAAGCATGACAGTATTTGATATCCTTATCAGCTCAACCTTCATAATTTTCTACAAAAAGCTCATTGCTCCTTTTTATACCAAACTAACCAAGACTATCCCTAAAGGCCCATCTGACCTTAGAAAAATGGGGTATGGCCTAATTTTCGCTATGGCAGGGATGCTAACCGCAGGGTTTGTGGAAATACATAGAAAGAAGTATGCACTTGAGGAAAGTGAAGAGCTTAGCTCATTGTTTATACTCTGGCAAATACCACAATATGTGCTTTTAGGAATAGGGGAGGCGTTTGTTTATGTGTCACAACTGGATTTCTTCGGTTCACAGGTGCCTGATGTTATGAGGAGTTTAGGAATCGGGCTCTCTTTGTCTTCTATATCTTTAGGGAGTTATTTTTGTAGTTTGGTGCTAACTGTGGCGATGAAAATTACTACTAAGGAAGGGGATCTTGGTTGGATTCCAGCGAATCTCAATGACGGATTCATGGAGAGGTATTTCTTTCTCATGACAGTGCTAACCGGTATGGAGTTGGTATTGTATATTTGGTTTGCTAGAAGATACAAGTCTATATCGTTGGAGAGGAGAGAAGATGTAGGAATGGAGAATGAGATGTCATAGAATTAGATGGTGGAAATTTTTTGGGGTATTGTGATGATTTTTGGAGAGCAATTAACATAATGTTATTATCTAACTCTTGTCTCTGGAAAACATGCTATTATCTGGTAACGCATGCAAGTTTTATGATAGTATTTGGAGTTTTGACAGTTTTTATGGTTTATATTTTCTGAAGTAGTTTTGTTTTTGAACTTAAATCTTGGGAGGTGTTCGCGTAGGATGAATTGTAGTGTTTGTAGTTCTATTAGTTCCCATCCTCCATGTTTTTTATTTTACTTTATTTATTTTTAGTTTTATTTTTGAGTGACTGAGATCCACATGAGTAAAATCCTGGCATCTATAAACTGATCATAGCTTGTAACTACTTCTGAAAAAGGGAACCGACTCAGATTCTAAGAACAGAGTATTGATAAGAAACGATCGCATTCCAGGGAGACAAAAACAAGAAAGATGAGGAATAAACATAGATTAATACTACAGAATCACCTGAGAATATGGCTATCGTTCATAAAGGGTTGTAGATGACCTGCTGATAAGGCGATTTAGAAACGAAATCGCTGTAAACATCACCACGGTGTATCGTTAACTTTGCAACAAATATAGACTCAAGTAATGTTGGATGCTTTGGTGCAAAAGACTTGCAGAATCATTTTTGCAAATAATATTTTTCTTGGCTATTAAAAAGGTTACCGTGTGCAAATGTTAGAACATCCTTTCTGTAAATGAATAAATTCCTAAAACAGTATAGTAAATAAAACCTCCCTGAAACACTAAAGGAAATCTTTGTTGCAAGAATCTGACATCTGATGCAGTCTGCAGAGGGCTGGAGCTGCAAGATAGAGAAGAATTTGATTTGATTGCTTTCCAATTCTAATGAAGGGAATGGTTACTCAAAATTTTGTATATTATGCCATATTGGCAGGATTTTTTCTCTCTCTTAAAGGTCAACCATCAATTGAGGGATACGACCAGTGATCTGAATATTTCTTACAAGATTTCATAAACAGTCAAACCTATATCATTTATAACATTCAACATATTTAATATTCATTATTCAAAGGTAACTGCAAAGCAGCGGAATAAATGTTCAACACTCCGCTCATGCAAGATCAGCGGCAACTTCAAGGACCCCAAAACTCCAAGGAATGGAAACATCTAAATTCATAAACTCAGGGGCTCCTCTAATTGGGTTTCCTATTTACTTTCAAGAAACCAATACAACCAAAGGATCAGCACCAACTTACTAACGTACCGAGGAGGCAACAAAATTTCAAGGCCTATTCATTAAGATAATAAAATGTTGTCTGGTATGGATATGAAGAGGAAACCACTTTTATTTGGAGATCTTTGCAGTAAGCTCCCTCACAAGCTTAGCAGCCACCATTGCAGTCATTCCGTCAACAGTGTCCCTTTGTGGATTGAACTCAACTACATCAGCAGCTACGACATCACCTTGGAGATTATGGAGAATGTTAAGGACATCACGGAACGAGAGGCCTCCTGGCTCAATGTGAGAAACTCCAGGAGCAAATGCAGGATCCAGACAGTCCACATCTACCGATATATAAACTCCCTTTACACCCTCTCCTAGTTTCTGCAAATTGACATGAGCCTTTTGAGAAAGTTTTCTTGTAACGTATTCAGCGACAACTAAATTAAACTTTCGCGAGTCTATTGTTTTTTTTTTCCTGGATGCTGATTTGAGTATGTTTACAGTATATACAGAGAAGAAATTTCATATGAACATGGACAGCATGCAACAGTACAAAAATACAGAAGGTTCTAGATAATTTCACAATTTAATTGCAAAGTAATTTAATAAGATATCTTGTAAGCATTCGAATGCAGCTGACATCCTTATTTAGCTTAAGAACTAATTCATGTCCCTCCAAAATCATTTCATTATACCTGGGAGGTCTGGCTTCACTCTGATATTCATGCCTCGCGAATAAAATAAATTGGAAAAAAGTTGGGTCTTCAAAAGGACTTGAAATTGGAGTTATGTAGTGCTAGGGGGGGATTGGGAATTCTAGGCCGTGCTCCGAAATGGTTAAGGGTGTTGAAGCATTTAAACCTTGAATCACACTATATAGCTTAAGCCAAGTAACAGCCAAGGGGATATTTGTGAGAACAGATAACTTAAAACTTTAATGGGGTAAATCAAATTATGTAAATAAAAAGTGTATCAAAATAGGAAAGATTTCAAGATGGAATATCTAAAAATCCAAAAAGTAATAAACTGCATATGCCATAAAGATGAAGTCTCTTAGCAGTTCGAGAAATTCTTTCTAAACTAATGGAGGACCAATTGCACATTTGAAAGTTCTGCAAGATCATTCATCTCAAGATCATTCATCTTTGGACCAAACTTAAAATCGAAGTTCAGCAGCTCCAAAATCTCCTTGCCTCACATGCATGTGGAAACTCAAAGACTTGAACAAGTACTTTGGTCTTGAAGCATGAAGAAGTTAAATTTTCAGTCAAGCCCCTTCAAATGACAATTTTATCATCAAACAACAATTTATGCAGATTTAATATTTAAAATAGATAAGTCTGCACATTAGCTCACCAAACATCATGCTTTCTTTACTGTACTATATTTGAAAATAATATTTTCGCATAGAATAGCTTCCAGTATTGTATTTTCACTCATTTAGCCTCGTAAACTAAACGTAAGAAAAGTGCATGTGTTACCTTGATATATATTTCTATTGAACTTTTATTTTTAAAAAAGTTCACATTAGGAAAAACAAGCTTCCTTGCATGTGATGCATGCTCCATTTGACTAGAAATAATTTGGTAGGTGCTTTTAGCCATTTATCTGAATTCCACTCAGACAATATGCATCTTATAAGTAGTTGAATTGGAAACTTCCGTTTTCCATACTCCATTTGTTACGTAAAGGAAAGAGATGGGTTTCTATACATTGATACATCAATCTATATATGTTTGCAAAAGAAAACATCAGTCATTTGGCAAAGGAGAAAGAAGATTTTCTTAGGTGATAAACATTTGGTTATATGCCAAAGAATCTGAAGGATGGCAAGCGAAGATCTCACTAGTTCAGAAATCTTAAGACATCAAATATGCTAAGGAGAAGAGCTAACAAGAAATACATGAAGCAAACATCTTAACTAAGAATATTAAGATCCAAAAGAGCCTTTACGCAGGGGTGGGAGGGGGTCGGGGGTGGTTATTCATTGGTGTAAATATGGGGATATTGGTATAATTTTTGAGATAACACTTTTTGGTGTTATTCATTAGGATAATATGGCTAGGATAACAACTTTTAGTGGGACAATTATCACATTTCCCCTAAAATTACCCAAGCTATGTAAGAGTTTATCTGTCTCCACCCCCATATTGCCCCAAAATTCTCACTAGAACATGATGGGGTAATTTTTTTCCAGATCACATGGCATTCTTCTCTAGCGTCATCGCCATCTCCAGCCCATCGCGCATCATCCTTCTTCCTCCCCCATCTCTTCTCACTCTCCTCTAGCAATAGTTTTCTTCCTCCTCTATCTCCTCTCAACGGCCCTTCTCCAACCATCGTGTAGCGATCTCGACCACTGTAGATAGATTCCGACGTTTTTTCCTCTTTCAGATCCTCCTTGCCAGCCATCCCAACGAACTCTGATGCCTCTTTGTAGCCACTTCTAGCGCCTCATCTCCATTCAACCACATGTTCTTTGATTTTCTAATCGTCGAGGTATTTACTCAATCTTATTCTATTGAATGATTTGTGGCTTTGACTTTTTTTGGTGCTTTGTTGGTAGCTGTGATACCCCGACACTGCAATTTTGGCGTCGTACCCGTGTCGGGTGCGGTTTGGATACGTTTCCGCATCCAAACGAATGGGACGCGGGAACAGCTCGTTTCCCACGCGTCGGGGAAGCTCGGAGATCGAATACGAGGTCGGGAAAACGTCGACGAGGGTTAGGAAAGCTTCGACAAGGTCGGGGAAGTGTCGACGAGGGTTGGGAAAGCTTCGGCGAGGTCGGGGAAGCGTCGACGAGGGTCGGGGAAGCTTCGACGAGGTCGGGGAAGATTCGAAGAGGAACAAGGTTTGGTAACGAGATATTCTCGTGACGGCGTCAGGAGAGAAATGGGATCTCGGATTTTCAGTTAAGTTGGGTTTGGATTTGTTTATTTTCAGCGCCCGTTTTGATGTTTTTTTTTTTTTTTGAAATAGTTGGTCGGGCCGTTTAAGCGGCACGCTTAGCTGTTTTTTATGCTTATGTGGAATATAAAGTCAAAGAGTTTATTTTATAATTTATGTGACACATCACTACCAAGCACAAAATTTGTGCTTGGTACCAAGCATACCCATATTTCTCTCTCTCTATATATATATATATATAGAGAGAGAGAGAGGGAGAGAGAAATAGAGAAACTTGGTACCAAGTTGCTCCAAGCAACTTGGTAGTGATGTGGCCTAATCTTATCCCTACATCTACATTGGAGTTGGTGAAGGGTGGTTGAAACTCTATCTTCGAGGTGTGATGTAGGGGCAAGATTAGGCCACATCACTACCAAGTTGTTTTAAGCAACTTGGTACCAAGGTTCTCCATTTCTCTCTCTCTCTCTCGATATATATATATATATATATATATATATATATATATATATATATATATATATATATATATATATATATATATATATATATATATATATATACGTGTCCATAACCGTACACGTACCCATGCAACCTAGGTTTGTAGTAATTTGGTTTCTAATTGACCTTGTTATCTAACCTACCATGAATTTGGGATAGATTTATGAGCTTGTAAATTTGTTCGTGATGTGTGTATTTGATTTCCTTTTTGTAGTGGATATTCTAGAAATTTTCATGTCGGTATGTTTTACATTTACTTTACAATAAATTGATTTGAGTTGTTTAATTGGTCTTATATATGGGGAGCATGTGGTTCAAATATCACGAACTTTAGTGATGATTGATATTTATGTGAATGCTTGTATGAACTCCTTTGATAGAAGAGAGAAACTGCAAGTTTTAAAAGATGTCATTTTCAATTTTCACACTCAAATTGTCTCATTTATCCCATTTTATTATACTTTACTCTAGTTTATCCCATTCAAATTGTCCAAGGGGGTAAAATTATCCCATTGAGACAATTATCCCAATGAGCCCCAAAATGTCCTAACGAATACCCCCCCCCC